CTATCCTGATATCTTCTGGGTAACTGCTTATTTTATGATGACTAATAGGCAATTACTATGGTAATACTGCAATACAACATGTGTGAGGTTTGGGAATGAGAAATTATAGGTAACTACTTTGGACTCATTTCTATGGTAACAAAAAGTAATTGTCATTAAATACCAGTTATAGTGCGGCTGTACCTGGTAATTATAGATTTTTTTATGCCCAGTAACATAAATAAAACCAATAAATTTATTCAAAAGGCCCATGATTGTTTACTTATATGCTGTTATATAGAATACACAATGACAAACATCTAATTAGGAAAAATAAACTCCATCGAGAGCTTCATCTTGTCATCTGAGATAGATACTCAGTTTTTCAATTCAAAGCAATGCATGTGTTTCACATTCATGAAATGAAGGTAGCAAAAAAAAAAAACCTTTCCCATCAAAAAAAAACACATGAACAATAATCAAGAGATGTTAGGCAAATGTCAACATGCACATGAACAGCCATGCCTCGCAAGAAGTCAAGTGACATAGTATGATGACATGGCATATCCAGCCACTGTGAACAGTGAACAATTATGTATGTGGGTATATATATAGAATCTGAAAGTGTTAATATCAAAGACCAAAGACAGTCACCCAATGTTACAAGATCTAGTTCTAATTCAAAGCTAAGACGTTTTGGATAAAATCTCCTTATGCTTTTACTGTCAAATGACCCTTCAGCCATTACATGTGAACATCAATGTTTCACTTGGACTATTAGTCACAGAAATAAAGTTCACAAAAAACCTTTGTAGGATCAATGTGAAGTATTTAATTTGATCTGAAGCAAAGTTTCTCATTTTATTTCAGACTCTTCAATAGGGATCTTACCAAAAGAGTTTTTAAGCAGATCATGCCAGTATTAAATAAACAAAAGATTTTTCTTAGAAAATGCTAAAACTAATCAATTTGTTTCTTTAAGCCTTCCTTTCTCTCTTTTTTCCCCCACACAGAACAAACTGTCAAATTCAGCCCACTTCTGCAAGCAGTTTCAAGTTTTTACAAAACCATATTTCCAGGGCTAAAATATGCCATTTATCCAAAACATTTCATGACAAAACAGCTCTCATTTACGTATGAACTCTCCCACCACTTACAGTGAATTTGGCTTTCCAATCTCAGTAGGGTTGGCCTCCTTTCCAACCAACAACTTGTTTTGTTGAACCCTCACACAAGCAAGTAGAAGACTTTATTGGCTTTAGAACCATCATACCTGATAGTGAAACAAGAAAAGATCAGAACTGGCATGTGCCCTCTTCCCCCATCCACACAAACTCTTGAAGCCCCCTACAATCAAGACAGAAGGATTATACCTTCTTCTACCATCAACCCTATTGATGACGTATTAGAACATTTCAGCTAATTCATGGCTTTAATTTAGAGAAGGGTGGCACTGCTACAGCTAAAACATCAAAGGCAATGCAGAAACATTAAGGAAGGGAGCATTAGTGGGTCACACAACAAAGCCTTCAGAAAACAGGATATTTCAAGCAGCTTGTCATGGCATTTCCGAGACATCTCAGTGAAGATCTGCCCAGACTAAGAAATACATCCCTTTTGGTGCTAGTATGGGGTTTCATCTCTGGAAGGTGAGACTGACAAATTGGAACTAATCTAAGACAGTGTGGTACAGTCATCTTGCCTGCAGGGACACATTTCAGCATTTAACTGCAGAATGCCAGCTTAAGAACAAGCTCTCGATAAAGGAAAGTTCAGGCCAAGCCTGGGGATGCACGACTTTTAAAGCAAGAACACATTTTTTTCTTAGTCTAACTCCACCTCCCTGGGGATGGTAATAGATTCAGAAGATGATAATGCTATAGCACAAGTAGAGAAAAGTCAAGAAATCTCTCTTCTCAATAGCAGTATTCCTTTGCTTTCTGAAATTGTTTCACAGTTTAATTCATCAGAGAGGGATGGAAAAGCACACAAATATACTTATTTTTGCCATGATCTTTTCACTGATGAAAAAAAAAAAAAAAAAAAAAAAAGTTATGCCCCATCCTCATCAAAAAGGGTCTTTCACTTTTGTTGAGAGCTGTGGACAAATCACCTGCCAGAACAGAGGGACAGTCATGCTAAAAAGCTACTGTTTTAGCTAGGAATGACCCTTGGCTTTTTGTTCCCAACTGTATGGGGCCCACAAGTATACTTTCTGAACACTTGCACATACTTGAATACATCAGTAAAGTTTAGCAATCTTTTTTTTTTTTGCATAAAACCGGATATCAAAGGAATTGACATTCAGTCCCATGATGGTTTCTTTTGGAGCCCCCTCAAAGTATGTGCAACATAGAAACAACATTCCTCACAGGTATTTCTGTGCCGCGAGCAGTCATGTTTTATAGCCATGATATTAAACTCACTTGTTGCTGGTTATGAACATTTCACCACAAGAAAGCCCCTGTAGAATCACAACCTATTTGGTCTGTTCCCTTGAGAATGAGCAACAATTTATAGATAATAGACAATTATTGGTATTATTGGTTGCAGTTTTGTCTTAAACTCCTAGACCTTAGTTCACAAGCAACTCAGAACAAAGGAAAAAAAAATATTTCAGAGAATTGCACAGAGACACACCATCCACAAGAGTCCTTCACCTCCGAAAGCAACAACAAAAAAAAACCCCATCAGTCAAATGTTACCATATTACCTGTGCAAATGTGTAAGCAGAACATGAGAACTAGTACATCCCATCCACTCTACAAGAACTGCTGACACAGTCAGACTTCTAACAGTGCTCACTGCACTTGGGATTTCAGAGAACAGCAAAGTCCATCTGACAGCATACTTCGCCAACCGTATAAAGCTGTATAGCACTGGGGTTAAAACAAAATTTCTCCCCATGGCAGAGGATGAGTTTACAAACTCAAGCGTGAGGTTTAATTACCCATTTCATTATCTTAACTTGCATAGCTCTGAACACGCACCTCCAGTGAACCAAAGAAATAGTCAGTAGCTGCTGCTTTGAGAGAGAAGGAGATAACAGGAAAGAGAAGTTCAAATGACTAGAAATGCTCTTGCTGCCTATGGCACCACAAACCTTGTTTGCAAGCCAAAGAGGGTTGCCCCCAGCTGATACCTCTGTGTTATACCATGCCATGTTGAAGATTTCTGAAAGTTCTATTTATGTGCTAATCCGAACAAAGACCAAAAGAGATAAAACAGACTTATCTAGTCAATCACGGAGAAGCCAAAGAGTTAAATTTTCAAATACTAGCAATTGATCCTTAGAGATTTTTTCTTTCCTTTAAATTCATCCAGCAAATTCAAGCAAATAAATTCTGATGTGCTTGTGGATTTTGTATGAACAGGAAATAAAGTGTTTGCTGTAAATTATTCACTCAGCACTAGTTAACTACAACGCCGGCACATTACTAGGCTTTTTAATATTCTTCTCAAGATAATAGGTAGTATTTTGCTTATTACCCTCATTTTTAACTTATTAGTTACATTAGGCCTTTTGTAAATAAAGTGAAGAATTGCAAGGAAATCAAATGCTTTTCCAGCTACCTCATTAAAAGTGCTTTTAGTTCAGGAGGGCTGAAAATTCTGCATATCATGAAAGGCTAAAACAATAGTATAATACCAGGCTCAGCAATTCCAGATGAATTCACTTGCCCTTTCGTAATACCTGGGTTCCCAGATGGCCTTTCAGGTTATGAGCCATATGCATGTCTAAAGCTGCATGCCTCTCAAAGGGTATAAATAACAATGCAGGAGAAAAACCTACAGGGCAGGTGAATTTATGGCAGGAAAAGAAAGCTGCTTAATTGCAACTGGACTTGCCTAGGTGCAGGGCACCTGCAACAAGATAGTGTAGTATCAGATTGTAGAGCCATTCCTATACGGCGACACAGCCATTACAATAAATTCCCGGTGCTGTGAGACACCACTGCTGCAGTATTGCTCTCTGCTTTCAGATTAGCTGAGTTGAGTGAGTATCGGTGTAGCTGGAGGGTGACTGTTTGCCCTTGGAAGTTTCACATACAAAACTTGCATAAATGTGGTGAAATTACCCAAGCAGTCTCCTACTACTTCAGTTTAGGAAGCAACAAAGCACAAGCAGACTGAGAATCACGCCTGAAAACAAAAAGCAGAGCCAGCAGCACCAACTCTGCAATTTCTATCTTCTTCCTCAATGGTCTCCCCATCCACACAATAATCTAGTCTTATTCTGCTTAGCAATGCAAAACCTAATTAGATCAAACCTCGAAGTAGCCTGGCTTAAGAGTATAGTGTTATTTAGTCTTGCACTGTAAGCAAAACCGCATACACTATATTACAATTCTCAAGGGTTTCTCCAGAGAACTATGTGGTAGATGTAATTGCCCCCACAAACTAATCATCAGCTTATCAACTGCTTTTCATTATCACCTCCAGCAGCACATCTATTTTGTAAATAAATGCATAAGGAACAAACAATTTTAGGGAAAACAAAAGATTATCTGGGTATGTTCTCAATGGAGGAAGAGGTAAAGCAGTAATTCAAATACTAAAATGAAGCAAAATTAGCATAGGGTGGGTGATTATTCCATTCTATGTATCACTATCTACTACAATACAATAATAGACTGAAATCTGTGACTTTAATGGATGATCTGGGTAGTTGAAGGAAACTGTGATTGACTGACACATTTACAGAGATGCAGATGAGCAGCATAACGAATGTGTTTATAAAACATAGCTGAGGTCTAGCTCCATGCTGACTTCAGCTCCCATACATAAAGGAGGCTTGCAGAGCAGATACTCTTCTATCTTGGGGACTTTCTGTCTACCCCTTGATGAAAACAAATTTGCCATTGTGTCCCCTTCCTCAATGGGAATTTCAGGAAGCTTTATAGACACATGGTAACCTTCAGTTTAAAAGAAAGGAATGAAAATAAGCCATTTGGTGAAAAAACAGAACAGGGTGTATAAGGTAGATATAACAATATAGAGATTAATTCTCCATATCATACCTGTAATTTCCTAGGTATACTCCATCAGGATTGAGCATAGGTGCAATCTTGAACACCAGGTGGTCTCTCAGTACTTTTGCAACAGGATGCTGGCTCACAAGGAAATCAATTATACCTGAGAAAAACAAAAGATGAACTTGAAGAGAGTGGTTTATAGCATCAATAATTTCCAGGTATCTATCTGAAAACTCACATATAAAAGATTAAAATGATCATTTCTCTTGCTTCCTGACAATGTTCTGCTTCAAACATAACCAGCCACTGGCAATCACATAGCACTTTTTACTTAAAAACAAAAAAATCCCCAGAAATAACAACATTACGAATAAATATGCTTAGCCCACCTTGATAACTCAAGTACAGCATTGTACATCAAGTACTACATTAGAACCAGCCAAGTTACTCCTCATCAGCTCAATCACAGCAAACATTTTCCTCTTAAGTGGTAAAATTGAGAACAAATGACTAGTTTTACATGACCAGCATGTATGTACATGGGCATGTAATGCCACTCAGTTCAGGAGTGGCAACCCGCTGACCTGAACCGCCTCAAATTTGTTCAAGAAGGTATCTCGATCTACCCTCAACACAGAGATCAGGTCATCTGAATGTGTGAAGAGGTATAAAATATCCTACTATATTCAGGAGAGTTACATCAACTCTGTACCAGGCACAGGGAAAACTGTGGGACTGACAGTTTGGAATTCATAAGGTCAGATTCATCACTTGCTTTACACCCATACAAACCAGGAGCAACTCTACTTCATCAAGGCAGATCCTTTATTGTGGCAGCAAGGCAAATGACAGATCCTAAAATCCTTCCTCCAGGCACATCCAGCACCAGACCCCACCAGGGCTCCTGCCTCTAAGCTTGCTCTCAGGGAGTAATTCATCCTCTCCTTGCTCCAAGGTTGGCACTGGGGCAGGAGGCAGGCAGCCTAGAAGTTCCATTCATTGCTTATTCTCCCACCGAGTTGGTACTGACAGGAATGGTTTCCAGGGAACAAATGTCGAGATAAATTGAGTTCCTGTGTAATCTCAGGACACCCACAGATCGGTCATGACAGTTTGATATTTATCATAATGTCCATCCTGTGAAGCAAGAACAATTTACTGAATTTCCCCAGAATAAATCAATCACTATGCTCTAGTAACTGGATAAAATTAAGCAGAGAAAAATTAAGGCTGATTATGAGTAAAATTTCACTAATGGCAAGCTCTATTATACTGTGGAATCATCTCTCTAGGGGAAGAGTGGAACCCCGTCATCAGAAACATTTAATGTTGGACAAGGCAAAGCCCTAGGGAATAGATATAACAAGCAATAGTTCAGCACAGAAGAGATGGCATGGGCTAACTAGCTGACTTCAGAAAGTTGAGTTTAAACTTGATTCCTTACGATGCAGTAAAAATTGGTAATTCATTTGGTCTAAATCATAATGCCCACTTTGTATTTCAAATATTAATGATTTAAACTGATGTTGCTATTGGAATTATTTCTAATTTATTGAAGCACAAGGGGTAAAATGAAGTTTTTGAAATGCCTAAGGTGGTCAAGGTGTATCTGACTGTAAACACCACCAAATTTCTCATCTATTAGCAACTAAACCTGAAGACTAAACCCTTTCTGCCACTGGGTCTTCCACAGGAAAAGGTACTAAGCCTGAATATCTGAGGCAAATTAGCAAACCAGCAATAGAAGGTGCAGTTATCAGCTTTGCAAAGTGAATTATTATTCCCTAACCAAGCATGAAAGGCTCTAAACATGTTATGAGTGAATGCTGGCTCTTCACAACACACTGTTGTACAGTACAGTACAGTAGACAAGAGGGAACAGACTAATCTTGAACACACAGCAGATTGGTAGAAAATCATACCCAGCATCTCCCAGCATATCCTCAATCTATTAGAACATTCCGCAGTTATGTTCACCCAGTCAGAAATGGCTTACTCTACTTGCATAGTTCGGAGACTATATTACTTAAATCTGACCAAGACTTACCCCATGACAGAAATACAAAGCAAATGTTAAAAATAACTGACAAAGAGGAATCTAGCCTGGAAGAAAAGCAACTCCAAGGAGCACAAGAGAAGCACCAGATGAAAACATACATGAATGTCACCATAAAATTATTGTAAGCATCCAAATAATCAATACAATCAGCATAGACTTTTGTCTTTCAGAGGAACCTGATGGGCTCTGGATCAATAACATTTAAAGTAAAAAGACAGATATCAGACTGTTTAAAAAAAAAAAATAAAAATCATACCAGAGAACTTGGGCTTGTTAATAAATCAATACAAACTAAATTTTACAGCTTCTGTAATCAGCAAGAGACATATCAGTGTATCTCATTAGGCTGGGGTTAGGAATTTGGCAGCAACCAAAGCCCATTTAATATCATTTACTTCAAGGCAGACATGGCAATACAACAGATGCCCTAATTTATTTGTTGATTTTTGTATTAAAATAACAGTTTGCTGGTAAACAGGAAGGGTAATGATGCCAGTCACCCTTGTTAGTGGCTAATAATTGCTTAATTTGTCCACTAATTGACCTGTGCTACTGTTGAAGCACTGGATCATGTTGCAGGGCATGAAGTAAACAAGGCCACTGTAATGTTACTTCAGAGAATGACTTCTGGAAATAGAACTACTTATTGCTATAAATTTTCTCTTCACAGATGAGCAGATTAATTGGTCTGCCAATTAGTTTGCTATTAAAGAAAAAAAACGGCTGCCCACAGATTACTTGGATCTTCGAACCACAGCTCCAGTTTGGGTCAAATGAAATAATCCAATCTGAATCAGTCACACCATCTATGAAAAATACGACAAATATTATTTAAAAACAAATCTCTACAGCTAGAGGTCAAAGAAAATGTCCCATTAACTGCATATTGTCTCTTCAAGTCGCTTCAAGATGAAAGAACGAACTTGATGGAGTAGACCTACCCGGGCACATGAAAGTATGTAAAAGTTCTCCAATTAAAAGAAGCAAACAAATAGAAAGTATTTTGGTACATTCCTTTTTGGTAAGTAATTAAAATAATCATTTTTTAAATAATAACATGCAATTATAGATGCTGCCTGGAACTAGAATGGCTCAGAAATCAGCAATCAACCATGACACGAGAAGAGGCTTATCCACAGGCCACACAAAACCAAGTGTAGACTTTATATTAACTTTAAGGAGCTTTCCACAATTGTTGTGAGGGGAAGGCAAGAAAGAAGTAGAAACAGGGGAAAGGAAAACAGTGCTGACAACTGCAAGCTGTTAGATATGCTGTCATAACGATACTAGAAATCTTAGCAATGAGCTGCTGGTTTTTTAATCTGTCCTTTCTGAGAAACTTCACTGAAACTGTGCCAAATCTGGACCAGACCTTCTCTACTAAGAGTCACGTTGCTGCCATAATTCTTTCTCAAGACCAGATGTGCTTGCTGGAATTTCTCCTGCAGCTCAGCACGTCGCACCTACCATAACACCAGATCCTGTGACACTTCTCTTCCCTAATCCAGTTTATGGTGCTTCAGCAGCACCCTCTGCCACCATCCCTCCTCCTGTAACGTGGCAAAGTAACTTTCTCTGCTTATCCAGAAAGAACAGCGGAAATGGTGTTTCCTCAATCAACTGCTTTAAACTCTGTTTAAACTTCCTGCTGTCTCTAACATGACCTCTTCACATTTGCTCCTTCCAAAGCAAAGCCTGCATTATCCTGTTTCTGCCTCACCACATCCTTTCACTCTGACAATACATTTAATTGTATAACTATATCATACATTTGCCCTGTTCCTACTACTGAAAACCTAATTACCACAGATTCTAATGCAATATGGCAACTGCTAATGCAAACGTATCCTGGACTGTGTTCTAGCATATGACAAGAAAGAAGAAATGATTAATACTTTCAGACCCGTTTCCTAACATTGAATGGTTAGCTGATGGTATCCTACAGTCAGCTTGCCAGAGCCTATATGTTAAAGAGAGCACAACATTTAAGTATGAACACAAATGTATGGTATATTCACCGGAAAATAAATATGAAGGAAGCCCTGAACACTCATCCTTGTATAAATATTGAAATGTCCTGTTAAAGGACACAGAAACCAACAGGAAAGATGTTATGCTCGTGCATTTGTGAAAAGTAGGAAAACAAGAATGTGAGGTTTGTTGTCTTGTCATTAGGCATGAAGGAACTCTGTGGTGGAAAAGGGATCCTGGTCTGCTCATTCCTCATCCTTTTCTTGTGGCTGCAAAGGGGAAAAAATGACAGATAAAAAACTCTTCTCCATCCCAGCGTGGCAGGAAAGATATCATCTTCACATTGAACCTCACTCAACACAGGCCAAACAAGGCCATGTTAGGGCTGCAGAATGCAGATCTGTGCTGTCAGAATAGCCCCCAGGACAGTCAATAGCCAGAAACGACCCTATAATACCTTAACCTGAAGTGTTTCCAATATTCAACCCCACAGCAAGAGGTGGAGAGGGAAACAAAAAAAAAAACAAAACACTTTAATGGTGATAAATGAGCAGAGCTGACTCACAGCAGGATTACTGACATGATCTAACGTCACGCTGACGCTGAAATTATCTCTACAAAGGATCATTGCATGTGATCCATAAGCAGAGGATCACTGCAGATGCTGACCCTACTCCTTCTCTGTTCCTCCCCTTAGTGCTTATACCACCACTCAGCTATTTGTGGCTTTCCATTGGGACAGAAATGGAAGAAGAGATGGTATAAGAAGTAAAGAGAAAACAAGAAACCTTATCCTAACAATCTTATCAATACGAAAGGGATTCATGGATTTCCAAAGTGATGCTTTATTAATTGTTTTCCTTGCCTTTCCAGAAGTTCCCTTGGAATCCATGGCAAAAATAAGGTCTGTTTCATAAAAAAATAATAAAATATGAGCAGTGAAGGAGCACTGGAGATATAAACCAGATACACTAGTTATAGTGTTAGACGAAGGAAATCTCACTGCCTGGAGTATAAATTAACAGTTTCCAGCTCCCAAACCTAATGTATATCTGCATACATATGCCTGAGTGGTTGCTGCAATTAGCGAGAGTGGGAAAATCCAGCACACTGCCTGTTTTTCATTAACT